CCCCAAAACCCCAAAACCCCAAAACCCCAAAACCCCAAAACCCCAGTTAAACTTTCAATTATTGAAAATTACATTAGTAATAATAAGTATTTAATTTTGATTCTTTAAAACGGAGCTTCTAGATTAAATCGAACAATTCTGGATACACACCAATCATTGGTGAGGTTATTCTTCAATGCTTACGTTATACAATTTTCCAATGTAAGCTACAGCTGAGAAGAAAACTATGGACTGGGTAGATTGATACCACACACGGGCTCCTATTCCTTTCGTGAGGAGTCCAAACCTTTCCTTATGAATAATACTCTTAATGCTTGTTTCTGGAACTCATTGCTTTGTCACTGTAATGACTTCAAGGCCATTGGTTACTGCATGTCCGATGGCTCCGGCAATAAATGAAGCGTTAATTATATGAGCTAGCTCATGTTTCTGATAATTCCCAGAATACCATCTGCTCACATAACGAAGGTAGCTCTCATAAACAGCGAATTGGATAGCAATAGTTGTTGAAAACATTACCAAAAAAGGAGAACAACCTTTGTAGAGAGATTTGATCCCATTTTCAGTAATTTCTTTTTCAAAAGCATGAACTAAATTCCTGTACCGGTAAGTTTCATTACTTGTCTGTAGGCGACACTTGAATAGATTATAAGGATAATAGAAGAGCAGGGTCAGGGATTGAGCGGAAAATGCGGAGATAAGGAAAACAAATCATGGGCTCAGCTGTCCATCCCCCAATTTGAATAACCACTCTTTAAATTGCTTATAAAGAGCGAAGTACATCAGCCCAGCAATAATAGAACCATAAAAGGTTGCTGAGATGCCTTTACAGAGTCCATTTATGCCCTCATTCTGCATTATGCTCTTGTATACTTTAATAGAGCTTCATTTTTCATTGTAAAGTTTGGCCCGAATATTAACTGTGTCTGCTAAATGAAACAAGACTTCACAGATCATTGATGAAAGTGAACCGGCGAGTGCAATCCTAATAACTTTGCTCTCATGGTTTCTATATTTCACCAAAGCCCCTGTATATAAAGTTGAGAAGGCTCCAAAGACATAGAGTCTCCGTTTATGCAATACTCAAGCATCTGTAAACCTTTTACCCAAGGGATACTTTTGTAACCTAGCTTTCATTGCAAAGAAATTTCTCATGGAGACACTCATCTATTATAAATTAAATTAAGCCAGAAACCCTATCCATTTAGGGGTTTTGGGGTTTTGGGGTTTTGGGGTTTTGGGG